CCTTGGCAATTTCCGACGCCTCGGCAGTCAGCATTTAAAGTAAGGATCGCAAACGCTTTCTAAATATTTCGACATTATGCAAATCGGTTTCATGCCCCATGTCCTCCTATCCGCGGGGAGTGAGTCATTCAAATGCACCAGTGTCGAACGGACCATCTGAAACTTTAGTTAATTACCCTTATTATTTGTTTGTTCAATACCCTACGGATGGCCTCTGAAGTTCCCCCTTTATAAGGACAGCCAACACAGGTTGCTGCTCGGACCAGTGCCGTCACAACACTATGCACTTCGAAGGTGCAAATCGCATGCCGAGGAGTGTAGCGTTACAGTCAGTCCAATCCGTCTTCTTACATACCCCCTGGGGCAGACCAAAGGGGGTTATGTCGTCCGTGTGCTCAAGGTTTGTCTGTCGGTCACTTGGCAAAACTACAAGTACCATACCCAAGTACTTCATTGATGTAGCAGAGTAAAATCCATTGCCGTCACTAAACCGCTTGGGGCACTGTGTGGGGAGCTGCTCCTACCTGGCTCCTTTGTGTAGCGAAAAAAGCATATTATGACAATCGGATGCGTCAAGAGAAAGATGACGAGCTCTGGACCAACTATTGAGGTCATTCAGATGATTGTGCAATTTGATATAGCATTTGGCGTTTTGATGACTGATACGCAGGACGATGTTGTCAGCATATTTTCTAAGGTTAGCTTCTGTATGGGCTATTATTGAGCTGATGTGACTAGGTTCATGTAGAGGCAGGACTCTTTACCAAATATCGTTCAACCTCGTGGAATGGTTTCCTCCACGTACGTTTGTTTATCCTTTGACACTGACGTATCCAAGCATTGTGACAACTTGACTAGCTACCTAATTTCTGTTTTGACATCTGCTGGCCCAGAAAAAGTCTCAACCTTCGCTTGGACAGGTTCTTCTCCCCCATCTGAAGAGGCTGTGTCGAGTTAAGCGGAGTGCGTTTAAAGAAAAAGTCGGCACCTCCGTCAGGTCTCTCAATGTTCGAACGAAGGAAGAACTATACCGTCTCCGTCAAGTATATATTCAGTCTACTCGTGGGAACGACAGCGTCGCAACGGTACCAAGAAAATGGTCCAACAAATGTCCACCTGTTGTTTGCTCTTCTGTTGCCTAGAGGCTTCAAGAGAAAATCATTCCCGTAGTGATGCTGTCACAAACCCGCCCGAATGACCGCCTTCAAACACTTATCATAGTTCGAGATCTACCGTTGATGCAGTGGCGCGCCTCCTACGTTCTATGCTGTCATCAATTGACAACAGAAACAAATCAATTCGTGCGTGTTTTCTTGAGTGTAACAACGCATTCCGCTGTGTAAACCGCGAAATGCTATCGAAAAATATACTCAATCAAATAATACATCCTTCCATCATCACCAATTTGCTGAGTGCTTATTTTGCTGGACGCACCCAGATTACACGAGTCAGCGGCAAATGCTCCTACCCACTAAACACCAAATCGGATGTTCCTTGGGGAGATATTTCGTCGCCTTCTCACATTTTATGTACATCAGGTCAATAATAGTCTAACGGTAAGTGACGTCTACTGTAACAAAGCAGTGCCTACTCATGTTGTAACAAAATTGCCATAGTCCTCTTTCGGTATCAGCGCTCTCAATGTAGCGCCGCTCAAAACATCTCTCTTTTACCCAAGAGGGCCATCCGTCAACTCAGAGCTCAGTGGCAATTTGCGCTGGTCTCTTATGTCGCTTTATTCACAAACACGCCAAAACGTTTTATTACCCCGTACCTGGATCATTCACAGTCATACACCTCCTACTGTCTAGATATGCGGACATATCGAACCTGCCCCCGCGCTGGTAGGTCGTCCAGATAGTGTCATCTCACAACCTTCGTCTTCTGATGTTGTTATTTGGAATTAGAAAAAGAATTTCATTTATAAAATGTTGTCTAAGCGTTGCCTGCTTCGTGCCGAACATATAAATCATGGCAAGCGATTAGCTGCAACTAAATGAACGCATATCAGTTTTCATGCAAATATCTCTGCTAAATCACAAAGTCACACTCAATCTTATTGGTAGGTTCACTATTTAATCTTTCCTTCTTTATTATGGCCATCCTACGGCATATGCCAAGTGTTATCTATTGGACCCGAAATATACCACTGTACTGCCATCTGCGATTGTGGACTACACGTCAACTGGTCGTTAGTTAGGAAATTATGTGTTATCGGAATTATGCACTTTGCAGATACAACTACCGTAGGAAGGAACTGAGGTGCTGCTCGCCTATGTACTGTGCGGGCTGCTGAAGAAGTGGAAGTGAAATGGCCAGACAAACTGCCAAGGAACGATGGAGTGACTCTCATGTGGGAACTACCACATAACTGGGTATGGGATACGAATGCAATTGATGCGCATCGACTAGCGTGTCAGTTGCCCTTACGTTGGGTCTGCACCAGTCCACCCTTGCATGTGTGTCCAGATCAGCCGAAGCAAACTATAGACAGCTCAGTCGCAGTATCTCACTTGATACAGTGAACATCAACTCGTTTTACTGCATCCAACATGAAGGTAAGCGCCGGTTGCTGCAACAAACCAGGTCCTACTCGCCTTGTAACAAAATTGCTAGTCGTATTTCAGCATTAACTCTCTCAGCAGTCCGCCGCCCAAAACCACCCTCCATAACCCAAGAGGACCACGCTGCAACCTGTATTTCAGTTGCGCAGACCCCTTTTGTCGCTTAACTCGCCAGCCCGTCACACCGGTCCAGGTCATTCACAGCCATGCACCTGTGACTGCCTGGCCATCCGGACACACTACCGTCGCATGCTTGGGCGTTGGTACGTTGTCCGAAACCTTGGGTTACGCCAGTGTCAAACTAGCCGCTAATGTGGTGTCACATTACCGTGGTTGCAGCACCCACCTCCAACTGGTGCTGTTCGCAAGGCATGCCTTTACGCACATGTTAGTCTACTTAGGTCCGCTGAATCCCTGACCTAGTCGCACCACGTGTTTGGACAACCTTGCGTCTTTAAGTTGCGTGGAACTAGATTCAGACTAGGCCCCGTTGCTGAATGGAGGCTAGAACGCCCGTGCGTCTCCACCACACACTACTAACTCATACATTCACGCAAGGGTTATTATATCTACCGTCATTGGCTGCTTAGGGATAACTCAATTCCCAGTTCACTACGCCCGCTTGGAGCGTCGAAATGATACTGGATCCAGTTCAAATGCTTTAAGGATTTTGTTCAATCGCCTTGCAGGTGTAAATCAGAGCCTAAGTGAGCAATTTAATTGCACCATAGATGCAATCAATCGGGATAAGTTATAGATCTCCATTCATCGCGTCACAACCTAGACTGGTTTTTAGGTGCATCCATCAAAGCTATCTCACTGCCTCACTGCTATTCCATTTTATTGTAGACTCAATCACAGTACATTTCCTTGGGGGGTTTCTTGACGAACGAAATACATTCCTGTCTGAGATAACCACCTTTGCTCTAAACTACACGGACGATATCAGCTTGCAGTCTGAGTATGGCGCAGTGGCACAGTCAACTTCGATGAACTCCGTAGAATGTCTTCATTCCAAGACTTGTGGTTTACAAGTTCAAAGTACAATGTGTTTTACAACATCCCCGACCAACTTGATGTTCCCTTAGTCACTGATGGGCGAAAATCGACCATGGTGATTTTACCTACTTTTTTAGCATTACAAGCAGTGGCAAGTGTTGTGTAGTTGAAATACTTGCAGAAAGTTAGTAACGGTCCTTTATGATTTAAGAGTTCCCTGGGTACGAGAATGGAGTTCTGTTGACCTGAAATGCTTGTGTCCCGGGCTATGGCAAGAGTTGTTTTTCGCAACGAGTAAGAATCTTAGCTTTTTTGGTCTGAAGAGCTCAGATATCTTCAGACTTTTAGCCATTGTGGACTATGGAGCATTGCTCGCGTCGGTTCGTACCAGCGTCTCCGCGATGATGATGTACGCCGATGAGTACCAAGTCCTTTAGTTACATTAACGTATAAGACTAGTCCGGGTAACTGTTACTTCTGTTGGCCACCCTTTACCAAAAACAGGCTCCTTTATATGCTGGATGCATGAAGGCGCAATAATCACCGGGAACCGTTAGTGACATGGCAGTGGAAGATGAAGTCTCAAAGTACTAGCTTGTTGGTCCGTTACGTGTACAAGGCTAGGTTTATGCGATCCAACCGACTCTCGCTTGGAATAGTACAGGATATGACTAGACACTGATGATAGTGTAGTAACAGCTCCTTCTCATTTGTAAGGCTGCCCGTTTAGTATAAGTATGATGCTAAGCCATTTGTAGCTTTTCCCATTGGAAATTTGTTTTGTGGTTTCCATCCTTCGATCTGCTTTTACCTACCACATGTGACCTGGCCACTTGCAACTTTGGTTTGCTGCACTTAGTCAAACATCCACCGTACCGGAAAATGCGTTGGCTGGTCATTTCATTGGCATTGATTTTAACCACATGGAGTCCAACTCGAGATGGTGCTCTTAGGAGGCATTGATGATGGTGCCTGGACTATAGGCATGGTGTCAACTCCGATGTGACAAGATCATCCATGTATATCTGTGGTAAATCTTTCGTGAGATTTCGGAGATCCTACCACGGATTGTTGACTAGATTAAAGAAAAAAATATCCTTTGTTGATGCTTTGCTCTGATGAAGCCAAAATTTTCAAGTTATTAAGATGGGACACCTTAGGCTCTTTAGGCGGAGCAGAAAGTTAACTCATTTTGGGAAATTTTGGAACCAGAGACGAGTAGCGAATTACGTTCTTTTGGGCAATGAAGTTACTGTTCGATATTTACCTGCCTTTTGATAGTATGTTATCGTCCAGCTTCCTGAATAATCAGAATGACGGCACCACCCGTTTTTAGATCCTTGACGGCAGCATAGATTAGTTTGTTTGTAATAGGCAATATTGTGTGCGAAGCATAGCTTGTGAGTTTGTGTGTGTGAAAGCTTATTTGATGCTTACCAGTAGATGAGGCTGACAAAGATCGGAGCGAGAATGACGGAGAATTGGAACTCGTTCGCCAGATACCAAGACCATGCCATACACTGTCAGACGAAGTGAAGTGAAGAGAGTGAGAAGTGCAACTATTCTTTGTTTAAGTTAGGAACGTGACAAGATCGTCGGAGGACGCTACAAACATGATAATCGTTCGTGCATCAAGGGCACCGGTAGTGATACCAGAGACAGTAATACATGGGCGAATACTCACTGAAGTTAGGTGACTGTTTGGGCATCATTCTTACAGTGGATGAACATAGTAAACCAGTGAACCACCTCATACATATAGATCCAGAAGTGGTGCGAATCCCCACAGTAAGAATCAATCACTGGGTGACGCTATACGATCAAGTATACGGTGCGAACTCGCGGTAATCGTGATCATTTCGTAATGCATAACCACTCGTCTTTAAGGCAATTTAAATACGCTTCAAGAAGTAACAAAAGTTTGAAATCATAAAACTACCACCTTTTCATTACCATTTCCTTAGAGTAGACCAAATTGTTCAGGTAGGACGCCCACCAGTGTTGCCGGCAAAAGATAGAGTCCAGCAACTCTGGACGCTGTGGGTACATTGGGCCGTCGTACAAGTGATGAAAGAGGCCAGTGTAGATGATGATCACGAACAGATAGACCGGAGTTAATCTGAAATGTTCAAGAAACAAACAAATAAATAGTATACTCCTTGATAGTGCGAGATGCAGTCCAATTGGTTGCTCTAATGAATTTGCGCGACGAACTCGCATAGGATGGGTACTTGTTCACTTTATTCAAGGCGGTTCACAAACACGTCTTCAGAGTGGTAGTTCAGCTAAATGTGTTAGAAAGACAGAGGAGAACAGCAGGAATATGTTGCCATAGGTTACATCGAAGCAGTACAACTAGAATAGGCGTGTCCCATCAGTGAATCGAGCGAGCCAAACAACCAATCGGGGACGGACTTAACGGATTTGATCCCTGGACACGGATTGTCCGACGTTCGTGTAGGTTTTACACCGTTTGTTTGACTAAAGCAAAGGAGGAACCTCATTGAATTATAAAGGTCGTTAGTTATAGAAGTGAACGAACAATTTATATCCAGGAGTTTGGCTTACGAAACATGTAATATTTGATGAGCTGAGTTTGCCAAATAAACGGTTGTCTAAAGCATCAAGTTCTGCGACGAAGAGCATCCGTAGAACCGTGTCCTGGGAACAAACTTCCATGCGAGGTAGCATATTGTAAGGTTTCATCCGCTCTCCCACGCCCAGTCTAGTCATATGCCGGTTGCGGCCGATAGGCAAATACGTTAGCACCGCATTAACTCATCTTCAGGACCTTAGTTATATGTACGTGAAATGAGCATTTACGCCATTCAGCTTGTTTCACCATTCAATGCTTCGAAGTCACTTAGTTCTATTACTCACAAGTGCTGCTACGCCAATTCGCCTTGCACAGATGCACTGGTTTGTTTTGAAGTCTCAACCCATCATCCTGAGAGATTGGCCCAGTCAAAGCCAACAATAAAAGCTTGTAGAAATGAAGTAAAATAAAAATGAGGAAAGATAACATGCACACTTCTTCATTGTACAAAACAGTTCGATTGTTTTTTCCGATTCAGTTTGCACAGAAGAATCACAGAAATTATGCAATCTTTCGAAGTATCCATAAACAATACATTCCACTAAAGAATTTTCTGTTAAGTCCAACAGCTGTATGCAATTGAAAAGCAGAATTAATTGATTTGGGAAGCACAGGTCGGATGCGACACGTCAGCCTTCCTAACAGGCACACGTTTGCGAATGACGCATCGTCGTAGTGAAACGGCTGCATTCTACCATTCATTAGCTTGGATGCATTCAGACCTCATTTTCAGCCTAATTCTGGATTGGCTGCATATGCCAAAGACTTAGACACGTAGTAGTGATGTGTGGTAGTATAAAGTTAAACTGATGATCACTCGTAATGGCGCGGTGTGCTACTAATGGTTACCTCACAATAGAGGACAGAATACGCAGAACTAGATGGAAGTTGTCGTTTGTAAAACACTTGGTTCGAATACACAACGGATTCCTAAACCACTATGGTGTCAATAATTAATCGGTAATTGCTGACGAGCAGTATATTTGTATTCATATTTGTACCGTGAGAAGCCATCTGAATACTCTCCGGCTCTATACTCGCACTCGTCAGTGTTGGGAACATGGAATTCGCATCAGACAACCGGTGCCATCAGGTACAGACGTGAGCGCATCAGTGATAAGCCTTGAAAGTGCCACATCAATGTGTCGCATCAAAAAGGCATGAGGGTGTAAGTTGTTAGTCTTATGAGGGGAGGTGGAGATTTTTACTAAAATTTGAAGCCAGAAAAGTACTCTTTTCTAAAGTTCCAATTAGTCACCAGATCTCTCCGCCCGTGTTTGCTACAAGTACGACCGAATACGGGCTTCACTCCGTTGCTGATTGTGATGTGCCTCCTAATGGAGGCAGGCGCTTTCATCCTATATGCATCCATTCAATCATTATACACGTTAGCTAGAGGTGGGAGACACCTCAGCTAATGTGCTGCAATACATAAAAGAAACAACAGACAACAGGTGCAAGACGGATGAGCTACCAGTAACGAATGGGCATCGTTCCGGTAAGCTAACAGCCGATTACAATGCAGCAAAAAATTACTGTGCAGAATCACATAAAGCCAAATAGTGAGATCGTGGGTGGGGGGAGGCGAAGAGAGGTGGGGTGGGGGGGAAAGAAATTCACAGCACGAACTCTACTGAGGACGGCTCCTACCCAGATCAACAAGCGTATCCAGCCAAACGCGTTCATCGTCTTTCGGACCCCAACCAGGGAGCCAATTTGCTTCAACCGACGCCAGCTACGAAGTGAGGGCCTTCATTCCTCTTGACCAAGTCATCGCTTGGCCACCCCTTCTACCATCCACACCCCGGCGCGCAAACAATGCACCTCGCATCTGATGTTGCTGTGTATGTTGCCTCCGAAGACAGTCCAGCCTTGCTGGGGCAAAATGCTATGGTTGCCCTCAACATAACACCATCTATCGAGCGAATGCGCATCATGTCACTCAAAACATCAGTACTTAAAAGCTTATATCCCAAATTATTTACTGGGTCGATTGGCCGGATTCCATCTGCTGCTCATCGAATATGCCTTAAAAAGGACGCTAAACCATTTTCGATTTCGCAGCCACGTCCTATTCCATTGGCCAAACGTACGATAGTAGAAAAGGCCATCCAAGAGATGATTTCCAACGATTTGATAGAGCCAGTTAACTGTTCCGAACGGGTGCATCCCATGGTCACGGTGTTAAAGAAGGACGGTACTGTGCGCATATGCAATGACTTGAAAGCGTTGAACAGTCAGATCGTCGTCGAAAAATTCGTTCTTCCCACAGTTGACGAGTTGTTGGTCAAGATAACTGGCGCGCGATTTTTCTCAAAACTAGACCTGAGGAAGGCCTTTTTCCACATGCCATTGACACCAGAATCCAGACCATTTACGGCTTTTCTGACATCGAGTGGTCTATTCCAGTACAAAGTCTTGCCGATGGGACTTAGCTCCGCTCCAGCAGCTTGGCAGAAGTTTATGAATCACTCACTAGCAGATCTACCGGGACAAATCGCTTACATGGATGATATATGCGTTTTCGGGAAATCAAGAGATGAGCACGACTCAAGGCTGCGCGCTGTGTTGCAGCGATTGGAGAGCCTAGATCTTCAGCTAAACCTGGAAAAGTGTATATTTTGTGCTACGGATGTCGAGTTTCTTGGGTACGTCTTATCAGCTGGTGGAATTAGGCCATGCGCAGCTAATACTCGAGCTATCACGGAAGCCCCTGTACCGAAGAACACATCCGAGGTTAAGCACTTTCTTGGTTTATGCTCGTACAACTTGCGCTATTTGCCCCATTTTGCAACTATAGCGGAGCCATTGAGAATGCTGACAAAAGAAAAAGCTACGTTCGATTGGGGCTCTTCGCAGCAGTCGGCCTTTGAAGAAATTAAAAGACGCCTCGTCTCCACCCCAATGCTGGCCATTTTCGACGAAAAGTGCCCAACATTCGTCTCAACGGATGCGTCAAACATCGGTTTAGGAGCGGTCTTGTCTCAAATTCAGAATGGTGAGGAAAAAGTGATCGCATATGCTTCTATAAAGTTATCCCCTACTGAAGTTTCATATTCCGCAGGTGAAAGGGAGGCTTTTGCCTGTGTATGGGCCTGTGCAAAATGGCACTTGTTTCTGTTTGGTCGGAGATTTACATTGCGCACGGATCATGCTGCTCTAACTACCCTCCTCAGTCGAGGAACCAATGGTCACAGGCCACTACGGATTAACCGCTGGTATGCGCGGTTACTGAACTATGATTTTCAAATCATCTTCCGCCCTAGCTCCGAGAACCGTATGGCAGATAGCTTATCACGTCTCCCATTGGATGATTCCGACAAGAATGAAGACGACGAAGAAAAAGTCATGATTTCTGCTTACAATCAAGTGGGCTCTCCGCGGTTACTAAACAAGAGCTTCAAGAAGCTAACCGGAGTGATTCATATGTGCAAGATGTCATTCACTATCTCTCTCAAGGCTGGCCTCGCTACGCGAAGTTGAGTGGTGAACTACGGGCGTTTTATGTTTTACGACATGAACTAGCGGTCGTTGATGATTGCCTTATGCGAGGATCGCGCTTCGTAGCTCCACAGAAACTGACATCGAAAATTATCCAATGTGCACACGAGGGACATCCGGGTATCGTACGGACGAAGCGTCGACTTCAAGAATACTTTTGGTGGCCAAAAATGAATAAAATGGCAGAGGCGTGTGTCCGGTCTTGCGATGCATGTCAGAAGGCCGACAAGAGCTCCAAACCAATCGATGCCCCCATCCAACCTGTTACTTATCCAATAAAACCTTGGTCGAAGGTGGCGATTGACATCATGGGACCGTTTCATTTTGCGCCACAGCACCAGAGGAACTGCTTAGTTGCCACGTGCTATTACAGTAAGTGGCCGGAAATCCATTTGTGTGGCGATGTGACCAACTCAACCGTTATACGGTGGCTGAAACATCTGTTTGCTAGATTTGGGTTTCCTGAGGAAATTGTGACAGACAACGGACCACAATTCAAGAAACTATGAGTTTAAACGTTACTTACAACTTCGTGATGTGAAGCACGTACATACTGTCCCGTACAACCCAGCTGCCAACGGCATGGTTGAGCGCACTAATCGCACGCTAAAGGAAACTATACAGACAGCACGTTTGTCCGGCAGGCAGTGGGAAGATGCCGTTTTGGAGGCTCTGTTTACTCACCGAACATCGCACCACAGAGCGACTGATCGCACGCCAGGTGAGCTGATGTTTGGCAGGAAGTTGCGTACGAAATTAAACGCAGCTATTTCGGCTGCAGAAAACAACGACCCCCACCAACTGGCACGTCGCCGGGGTTATCAGTCATCCTACGAAAAACGGGCCACATCGCTGCGTCCTGGAACGTTGGTCAGGCTAAAGGAGAGGCAAACACGTAAAGGAGAAACGGCACTGACGAGACCCATCAGAATTACTCGTGCGCTAGGGCCAGGAACTTATGAGTTAGCAGACGGCCGACAAGTTAATGCCAGACAGCTATATTCAGCACTTCAACCGAAGCA